GAGGCAAAATAGTAGTTATTTAGCTGCTCCAAATTAGTCTATTTTCTCCTGAATTCGGGGTAAAAGATACACATCACCCTTAGTTGCGGTGATGCGCTTTGGCCTGCTCTGGGGAACGATGCCCGCCGCTGCCCCCCGAATGAGAAGACAGGAGGCAAACTGGGAGTCCCCATAATATTTGACAAAGATTATTACTCCAAAGATACATGCAGGCGATAGTCACAATACCGTGGTTGAAGTATGTTGACCAATCCACACACTAGAAAATGAAGGGACGACGACGTTTTGGTGTTGTATTTGTTTCGGTCCCAGAAGTGACTCAAACCCAGACCGCCAGGAGCACATTGCAACTGGTGTACACGGTGCCTTAAACCACTCGACCATCAGTGACCATTCAAAAGGCAGTGATAGCCAAGGCTATTTGAACCACCACCCCTGACGGCACTTTGATGGTAATCTTGGGCATAGTTATTTCATCAAATCACCTCATTTTTGTGGGGCCACGTGAGCAACACAAATGTGAACTAGCTTGAATGGTCCCCAAGCATATATGCAACTGAAAACTCCACACCACAGAAGTGACTCGAACCCGGACTGCCAGGAAATAGCCTTCACTATCACTATCTTTTGTATGGTCACTGATAGTCAAGTGGATTGAATTTTGGAGAGTTAATTTTTCAATTATCCTCTACAGTGAAAAAAAACGTAAGAAATGTTGAGATTCGTGTTAGAATTATTAATCTTACCCTTTCAGTCGTATTCAACAACATATGTTTACTAGAAAGACTGCTACCAAAATATACTAATATTAAAACACATGTTACCACAGCAAGAAACCAAGCCTTCGCGATTAAACATCGCTAAGCTCTGATTCGAGATCAGATACACAAGGCAGAAAATGAGATCAACGATAGCAAAACGCAACTACTTCATGCTACAGACCAATAGAGAAACTCCAACATCGACGAAGACCTCCGTACTCGAATCGACCAACACCTCGACATCGCCACAGCACCGAAACCAGGATCCAATTTAAAAGGATCTTGGTTTTGGAGGACCTATGGGGATTCCACGACCCAAAGATGGCTTCTTAAAACTTGCTGGAATCAACCTCACTGAGGACCAAATCACTCTCTTAAATCTGGGTATAAACAGTCACGTTATGTCCAGACTAAGTGAGATGGCCCGAAAAGTGGAGTTGGAGATTCTATTGGACAACATATTCGACTTTGAGACTCAAATGAAGGTTTCCACTAAAGACACCTTGCAAGCGGAACTTATTGCAGAAGGAGGAAAGACTCAAGGTAAGTACAGAAGCTCCATACTGTCCCCCCGAGCTCAAAACGGCAGCTAAGAGCCTTCGTGAGAATAAGGAGATTTGTCGTCATTGACAAGTCGCCAATATATGTTATTCTTAAAAAAGACGAAAATCTGGAAAAATGAACCTCATACTCTCTGACCAAACTAAATTCCAAAGGGTAACGAAGGACACTTCAGCCGAATTGAAAACGAAGGTAAACAGATTGAACGAAACTGTGAATTCCAAGAAACCCGGACTACACCTGCCAAAGGTTATTGGGTAATACAAACCTGGTTATGCATATGGGAATGTCTGGAACCCACAAGCCTGGAAACCCACTTCGGCCAATCATCAGCCAAATACCCACACCCACATACAGACTGGCTAAGCGACTCAACTGCTTGCTGACTCCTTATGTACCTTGTGTTTTCAGCCTGAAGTCTCCACGGGAATTTGTTGACTTACTGTGTGGAGCATGGACCATGGGGATAAGAGCCTCGTTGGATGTAGAGTCACTGATCCGAGTATCGTGATCCAGCTTGTACTCCTCATGACATACCAGAAAACATACTAAGAAAGCTACTCTTATCCAGCACTTGAGAGGCACCCTTCCCAAGTCCAGATGGGCACAAGTATAAGCAAGTAGATGGGGTCGCCATGGGTTCACGCCTAGGTGTCCAGTTTGCAAACTTCTACATAGATACCATCGAGCAGAGGGTCTTAGTTGACCATATACTGCAGGTATATTGACGACATTTTTATGCAGGTACCTGATGAGAGAGAGAAAGGAATATCCACGAAAGCGACCAGAACGAGCACCAAGCATCGGCTCCTGAAGACAGACACAAAGGGGCGAAAACCGCGAAATCAGAAGTTGGAGTTTAAGGAAATTGGCGTAATAACCTTGAACGTTCCATTGAAGAATAGACATCGACGAGAAGAGGAAGGACAACAACAGAAAACAAGGAAGAAACAAAGGCGAAAGAGCAACCTAGCACGTTAAAGAAGATCAGGGTCAGCAAAGTCAGGGTTAGGGGGCATGGGTAAACTGAGCAAAGACGGAGGGAAGGAAACGGGCAAACTGATCAGAGGTGGACGGGCGGGGTCCGGAGGAACAGGAGGAGACAACCGAGAGGAGCAGTCAAGGACAGCAGCAAGAAGAGGGGGAGGAGAAAGAGGGGAGTGCACCTCAGCAAGGGCAGCAACCGAGAGGGAAGCAGGGGCCAAAGAAACCTCCATAGCAGGAACAGGGGGCACAAACACCGAAATGGGAGGGGAAGGAGCGATAGAGTCAGAAGTTGGGGCCAAGGAAGAAAGCGAAGCCTTCTTACCCGCCGGGGAGGAGGAAGGAGCGGAGCCAGGCTTAGGCTTCTGACTTAAAGAGACAGGTGTCCCAGCAACTACGTACTGGGCAACGGATTCCAGCGTCTCAACAGGAGAAGCTGTACGAGAGCACACACGACAGCCATTAAGAGAGCGATGAACATCAGCCCACACTGACAGGCGGCGGGGAGAGTCAATAGACGGAGGAGAAGGATTGGCAGGAGGATCAGAGGGAGACGAGGAAGAAGACACAGGAGACATGACAGACCGGGTAGAAAGAAGGGGGAACCCCAGACAGAGGACCAGGAGGGGGACCCTTTGGGACAGAATTCTAAGGTACAGAGGAGGGGGCAGTTGGCGTATCAGCATCCAAGGCCCGGAAACGATTGTGAGTCTGAGGAAGGTGGGAAGGAAGAGGAGAGGAAGAGTGCAACACGCGAGCATAAGAGACGTTAGTAAAAGGCGGGAGCTGGCGAACCTGGCGCCTCGCCTCAGGAAAAGACAAACGCTCCCGGTGCTTCAAGTTGAGGACTGCAACCTCAAGCTTGTAATGGATACACGCACGGGAGAAGGTATGATGGGCCTCACTGCAGTTGAGGCAACGAGCCTGGGGAGAAGTGTACTCCGACTTAGAGTGACCTTTGCCCCCACACAAAGGACAAAGAGAGACAGTCCCAGAGCAGCGGAGGGTACCATGCCCAAACCTCCAGCACTTGTTTCAGAGCCTAGGAGAAGGAATGTACTCCTGGACAGAGCACCTGGCACCAGCATGAATGACAGAGGGTGGAAGGGTCCTACCAACAAAGGTAATCTTCACAACCCGAAGGGGTTGACGGCGACGACCACGAGGGGGACGAGTAAACGAGTCTATCTGGAGAACAGAATGGCCTTGGACATCAAGGATATGTCGAATACCATCGTGGCAGCCCTGCAGATTCCGAACACCAGTCGCAACATGGGGAGGGAGGAGAATAGTGCCAAGACTGGCATTCAACCAAGTGTTCTTTGAGACCCGAACAGGGATCTCGCCAAGGCAGAATAATGCAGCCAAGCAGGAAGCTGCATCCTGAGAAGGAGCAGCAACGACACGTGTACCGAGACGAGTGGGGTTGAAGGTAACAGAGGCATCCATGGAATCAACAAGATGCCGATGGAGGGAGAAATCGTCAGGAGGCGCAGAATCAAGAGGGAGGAGATCAAAGTATTTGGTCCATGAAGAGGGGACCAAACAAGGCCTGATACACATCAGTTTGGGAATGAATCGAGCGAGTGCAGCCGTGACACAGACGGAGGTGAGAACCCCTAGAGAGAGAGGGGTTAAAAGGCGCAGTAGTCAAAACGAGAGACTTAGCTGCACCAGGGGACTAAGTGGTCACCACTGGGGGCTTGAGGCTCGACCCAACCACTGAGGAGGGAGAGGAGCTGGGGGAAGAAGTCAGGAGGGTCAAAGGAGGAGCAAGGTCGGGGCCCAACGCAGTGGGGGCTACAGATCCCGGTCTTCTAATACAGGCCGACTTGGGGAGATTGGTCGCCCACCCCACGAGCCTGAGAGGGTACAAGAGAAACATTCAACGACATAAATACTAAGAGTGACAAATTCATCCACGAATCTGCCCCCATATTCACCATGGAGCCACAATTAGAAGCGGGCTGAATCACAATCATGCCGGGGCCGCCCTAGGGGTCCGTCGTGAGTATACGCCCCACAAACGCCACCTTAAGAACCGTCAGTCCGTCGAGATCGGGTTCAGTGACGAAAGGGGGATTGACAATAAATGGTTCCCCTCGCTCGAGACCTTGGGTACCACAGTTCTACGGGTGCAAGAGTATGCCTCCTCAAGCACCCAAGCGTCAAAATAAAAGAAGTCCAAAGGATTAACAAAAACAAGCAAAAGGTCGGCAGGAAACGACAAACAGATAGGAGAAGAGGAGGAGAAAAATGAAATAGAAGGAAAAGGAAAAGTCGTTCAGCACAATTAGAGAGGACAACAACAGGAGCACAAGGCTACAGAAGGTCAGAGGACTGTCCCAAGGAGCATCACACTCTGGCAGCCGCCCACCAAGCCCCCCTCACGACAACAATGATCTGAACAGGGAGGGGGGTAAAATTAATGTGCAGTCAATATTGTGGTGACAGTGGGTGTATTACACCTATAGGGACCAATAGTTAAGGTGGACAGCGCCACAATAACAGTAACCAACACCAAGAGTAAGGGGAGACCCCTCAAGAAGTCACAATTAATTTAAAATTACAACAATTTAGAAAATTTATATTTAAGGAAATACATTGTGGCCTTATTAGTATTATTTAGCTGACAAGCTAATTTTTTTTATCTTAACATTTAGTTGCGGTTAAGTAAGAGGATGCCGCTACCAGCAGCAATGAGCAGGACCGTAGCGGCGAGCAGATCTGCAGCGGTGAGCAGGACCGTAGCGACGAGCAGGACCGCAGTGGGGAGCAGGACCGTAGCGGTGAGCAGGACCGCAGCGGTAAGCAGGACCGTAGCAGTGTTGGGACAAGTTGTTATATTCATTCGTCTTGTGACGGCTGGTTCACCGCTTATTCCTCAAGGTCGGTAACTGAAAGCAACATTTTGTTTTCATATTCGAGAATTACAAATCGTTTGAAAAATTTTGTTGTATTATCTATATTTGTTAAGTTATCATCAGCACAAAACTATTTTGGAATAAATGACACTAGAAAATTTGCCACTAATAACCAAAGAACTTGTCAACTTTTCAGAAAGAAATTATCCAATCGGTATATTCGTAAATGTAATTGTTTTAATAGAACTATTTACTTGAAGAATAGAGTATAATTTTAATGAATTTTAACTTTGATTTCAGAAACATTTAAATATATTTCGAGAAATTATTGGCCTCCAGGCGCGGTACTTGAAGCTTCTTCACAGCCAAGCTGCTCCGTCATTATCGTCCACCAGGCCCTCAGCATACCCTCACCACATTTCATTGCAATTATTACAAATAAGGTATCTATATTAATACACTAACTCTATTCCAACCTTCATTAAAACACCCTCTACGGATGTTATGGACTCCTCAAATGAGGAAATCTTAGTAGGAGCTCCATCGCCGCACCATATATATAACACCTACTTGGTACAAGACCTCATGGAGGCCACCTCACCAAACTCCAACGACAGCACGGCTAGCCAAAGTATCAGGCAAAGAAAAAACTATTTGGGCCTAGACCTAGAGGTCTACACTAACCCCACCAGCTCCATAACTGGTTCAGCAAGCCCTCCAGGACTGAAGACTCACATCCATCCCCCACATCTCTAGTATCAGCCATTGATACAGATAATGGCTCCAAAGAGCCTCCACTTACGGGTTCACCATAGTCCGTGCTACTTGGAATTTTATGTTCTGAGTAGCTGAATCTAAAAAACAGCAAAATCTATTCCAACAGGATGGGAACATTGCAGCAGTCACCATGCTAAAACCCAACCAGTTTGTATTTAGGGTCTCCATAAGGCTGTTTAGCTGAGGCATGAATATGCATTGCTAATTTCACAGACCAGAAGGAAGTAGTTTAGCTAGATTATAAAAAGCCTTTTTATTATATTAGAAGAGACGCTGTTCTCATATTTGTTCATAGCCATTTATCTCCTAGTGATCATTTCGTCCAGTCATGTTACAGTGGCGAATCTAAGCTTCTCTTTGGGAATATGAAATTAATTAGTGTGAAGATATGCACCAGTGCGGCTTCTTAGCACCACCTTCTTTCTTGCTTAGTCATTAAAATGGTCATTGATAGTCGACCAGAAAGCTAAACATTTGATTTCTTGATAATGGCACTCTTGCCGGTATCATGGAGCCCTCCTGGAGGGAATCAATAATTCAGGTATCCACTTGAGTTGCCGGCAACGCCGATCCTAGATGCAAAAAATTCAATTACCTAATAAGGATACATAACAGGATTCACACAATCGACTCTTATGATGCCCTTTACCTTCTCCTAAGATGCTTATCGCTACATAATCTAACTCTCTAAGGGGTTTTCTTACCCACGGATTGCTTTGCCCACCTTTCTTTCTTCCTCCTCTGCATGGAACAATCTTGTAAAGAAAATCCTACAAGAGCCCCATAGTGATTCTTCAGGAACTAACCTTTTGTGACTGAACGAGTGGGGTTGCTTTATCCTTGATGAATGACACACAGCTGGTGCGGGTGTAGATGTGTGTATCGACCCTGGCTGTCACCTGTAAACACTCAGGGGTTGGGCAAGCATGTGGCAGGGCTAACCACAGGGAAGCAATAAAACCAATCAAGTATAGGCATTTTGAAAATCTGTACACATTTGTTGCTGTAGCATCTAAGATACTTGGCCACTGGGGCAAGAGGGCATTGAGCTTTCTCAAGGTATTGGGTTCTAGGCATATGACTCTACAAGATTCCCCAGAGCTGCCAGCTTTCTGTTTCAGTGGCTCAGTGTAGCCGTCCAGAGGTGCAGCGCTTCAGGCGTCCTCGATTTCTTCCTTAATCTTTATGAATCAATCAATCTACAATTCAGTTACGGGCTATTCATTCCCGTGCTCTTGGTGGCACGGGAATGATCTTCATCAATCTATAATTCAGCTAGAAATCTAAATTATAAATATACTCAATGGGAGCCAAATGAATTAATATATGTCTTATTTAAAGAAAAAAAGTATAACATTCAAGGATTTTAAAGATCATGTTCTGTGATAATGAAACACTTGTTCAATGAGAAATGAGAAATGTAATGAAGTCTTGCTTTGTAAAACTTATATATATATGATTTATATTGTATTTTCTTAAAAAAAACATAAAAAAAAGGATTACAATGAATGTATGTATTATCAGAAATATAGTTTTCAGTGAATGTTTAGTTACTCATCTGTGAATGTAAATATAAAACATATATAACGTGTATTATTATTATTTTACATGTGCGTCGGTCAGCTAGTGGCTCCTTCAGGAATATCAGTGTGGGAGGTGGCAGCGGACGGCCAGGACGCTAACATGACGCTAACGCAGCTCCCCCGCGTGGTCGACCAGGCTCGGCGGGTAGGTCACTCTCACATTACTGTTGACGTGGGTAGGTCACTCTCACATTACTGTTAACGTGGGTAGGTTACTCTCACATTACTGTTAATTTGGGAATGTCACTCTTACATTACTGTTGATGTGGGTAGGTCACTCTCACATTACTGTTGACGTGGGTAGGTCACTGTCACGTTACTGTTGATGTGGGTTGGTCATTCTCACAATACTGTTGAAGTAGGTAGGTCAATCTCACATTACTACTGACGTGGGTTAGGTCACTTTCACATTAGTTTTCTCACTCAGTTTTCTGTCAAACAGGACTCAGCGAGTAACGGTCAATCATATAAAATCTAGTCAAAGTGCAGTTAAAAGCTCTGTACCTCAGGGTACAGTCCTTGCACCGCTGCTTTTCCTTATTCTCATATCAGATATAGACAAAAATACAAGTCACAGCTTCGTATCATCCTTTGCAGATGACACAAAAATCAGTATGAAAATTACCTCGGCTGAAGACATTGAAAAACTTCAAGCTGATATTAATAATGTTTTCGACTGGGCATCAGAAAATAACATGATGTTTAACAGTGATAAATTCCAGGTACTCAGGTACGGTAAAAAAGAGGACCTTAAACATAATACAGGGTATAAAACACAATCAAATGTACCCATAGTAGGAAAACAGCATGTAAAGGATTTGGGAATAATGATATCTGACGACCTAACGTTTAGCGAGCATAACCAAGCAAATATTACGACAGCCAGAAAAATGATAGGATGGATTACGAGAACTTTCAAATCCAGGGATCCCCTCACAATGGTTGTACTCTTCAAGTCACTTGTATTGTCCCGTCTTGAGTACTGCTCAGTACTCACTTCCCCCTTCAGAGCAGGAGAGATTGCTGAAATAGAGGGAATACAGAGAACATATACGGCACACATAGACGCGATAAAGCACCTAAATTATTGGGATCATCTCAAAGCCCTCCAAATGTACTCACTAGAAAGTAGACGAGAGAGATATCAAATAATATACACTTGGAAGATACTGGAGGGCCAAGTACCAAATCTACACAGTAAAATAACAACGTACTGGAGTGAACGACATGGAAGAAAATGCAGAATAGAACCAGTGAAGAGGAGGGGTGCCATAGGCGCAATCAGAGAACACTGTATAAACATCAGAGGTCCACGGTTGTTCAACACCCTCCCAGCAAGCATAAGAAATATTGCCGGAACAACCGTGGACATCTTCAAGAGGAAACTAGATTTATTCCTCCAAGAAGTGCCAGACCAACCAGGCTGTGGTGGGTATGTAGGCCTGCGGGCCCCTCCAAGCAACAGCCTAGTGGACCAAACTCACACAAGTCAAGCCTGGCATCGGGCCGGGCTTGGGGAGTAGCAGAACTCCTAGAACCCCATCAACCAGGTATCAACCAGGTATTACTGTTGACGTGGGTCACTCTCACAATACTGCTCACGTGGGTAGGTCACTCTCAAAATACTGCTGACGTGGGTAGGTCACTCTCATATTACTGCTGATGTGGGAAGGTCACTCTCACATTTTTGCTGACGTGCGTACCTCACTCTCACATTACTGTTGAATTGGGTAGGTCACTTACATACTAATGATGTGAGTAAGTCACTCACATTACTGTTGGTGAGGGGTAGGTCACTCTCATATTACTGTTGACGTGGGTCGGTCACTCTCACAAAACTGCTGACGTGGTTAGGTCACTCTCACATTACTGCTGATGTGAGTAGGTCACTCACATTACTGCTGACTTGGGTAGGTCACTCTCACATTACTGCTGATGTGAGTAGGTCACTCACATTACTGCTGACTTGGGTAGGTCACTCTCACAGTACTGTTGATGTGGATAGGTGTTATGGTGGGCAGTTGATTGTACTGAGAGGGCCAATATTAAAAGACAAAGGAGTTCCAAAAATAGTGGCACTAGGGAGACCCCGACCCCAAGGGAAGAATATTCCCAGTAAAGAATATAGTTTGGTTAGAATAAATGTATGTTGTCTAAGGTAATCCCCTATTCCACACTCAACCAGAAGAAAAGAAAACTTGTATCTTAAACTTTATATATTAAACCCTCGAATAACCCCCATATACATTAATACAACTATTTTCTTTACCACTCTACCTTACGTTACACATCTTGGTCCACATAGGCAGGATGCAAGGTTTACAATTACAAAACTAGGGTAAAGTCTTCTTGGAGAAAAGCACTTGTAAGGCTTGAAGCAGCCTGTGTAGTTATGACCCACATGGTACCCTAGTCACAATGGAGTACACTTAATGGTGGTAATAACTATACCTAACCAGGTAGCACTCTAAATGTACAAAGATGGTACTTATCTTGGACATAGATTAAGGGAGAGGAGAAAGGAGGAGGAGGAAGACAGAGCCCCTCAGGGAAAGTCAGGACGCCACAGCTGCCAGCCAGAGAGAAGAGACCCAGCACAGCCGCCCGAGCTCATGTATGCTGCCAGGATGGGCACTCAGCTGATCATGCAGCAGCAATCATCACAAGTTTACTCAGACATTCATTACTGGTTACTTTAATAATTATAAGAATAGCTGATAATTAGTTCAATATTATATTTAATAATCAACAAGCACAGAATATTTGTAGTAGTAGGGATGACACTGTATGCGCCTCATTGGATTTTGGGCAAAAGAGGACGATATGACACACCGTTTTCACCGAACTTTGAAAAGAGGACGCTGAGTCACACCGAATTCAACGAACATTTTAAGAAAGGGGCCAATTTGGAATTAAAGAGTTCTTATGAGGAAAATAATTTCATAGAAGTTCGTTAAGGAATTCTTATGAGAAAAATAATTTCTGAGATCTTAGAAGTTTGTTAAGAGTTCTTATGAGAAAATAATTTCATAGAAGTTTGTTAAAAAAGTCAGGGTAAAGTTAGCTTTCGTATTACCGAGACTAAGGAAAATAGACATCTTAAGAGTAAGTTTTAGTTTTATATGCATTTACAGCTGTTTCTCCTGTAAAGACCGAAAATTAATCAGAGACCAGTTTAAAGCTCAAATTTCATCAGAGACCAGTAAAGACCGAAAAATTTGCCAGAGTCCAGTTTATACCCAAAAATAATCAGAGTCCAATTAGCGACAGAAAATTAGTCAGTGACCAGTTTAAAGCTCAAATTTCATTAGAGTCCAGTAAAGACTGAAAATTAGTCAGAGACCTGCAGTTCATGCCGAAAATAAAAAAAAATAAAAAAATAACAAATAGAAAAATTTATAGTTGCCGGAACGCGTGTCCGTTGGTGGAGAGAACTATGCAATCCTTCGTCCTCAGCTGCTGTGTTAAGGACGGTGACTTCAGATTTGGTATCACTTTGGTTCCAGGACACGGCTATTGATTGCCAATTTAACGTAGCAACGCTCTTGTAAATGTAAGAACGATTAATTAAACTAAGCAAATGCTTTGCTATAGCGTCGTCTCTCTCATGCACGTCGCTCGTCGGAGTCCGGGCAGCAAGCAAGTGACGCTCTCCTTCCTCCCTGGCTGTGCTACACTTGCGCACCCCGCTCAAAGTATTCTCGAGCTTAAAGTATTTTAGTTTTACTTGCAATTAATTGGGAATGCAAGGACTAGTGACAAGTGCTTATGTCACTAAATTATGTATTAACTTCCTACAGGGTATTGTAGGGACTGGGCAAAGCAATGCACTAGGGCCCTACTCAGATGATGGGCACCGGGGGCCCCTACTCAGATGATGGGCACCGGAAGCCCCTACTCAGATGATGGGCTTAAGGTGCAATATATATTTTTGCACAAAGCTAGTCAGCTTATTAAGATTGCATTAAGAAATATCATATGAATTGCTTTACTTTGCAATATTTTCCACTATAGTTGTTAATACACCTAAATGAACGAATTCAGTAAGCAATAATATAATATGTAAATAATCAACTAAATAAACAATTATCCATAGTAAGGGAACGTAATGGACTAAACTTTGTTTAGATGTAACTAAATTTGGAGAGATTCATGTTTTAGCCTGTAGCTACCTCCCGGCGTCATTGAGACTGTGGGAAGAATTTGGCAAATATTGCGTCGCAATAGAAACAATAATTGAAATAGTTCTACAAATTAGTAGAGTTAGTAATTACTATGGTTAATAAAATAATGATGTTTTGTTATACATGAAATTATGTATTAGTGTTGGAAACTTTCCAACAACTCTCACATTACTGGTGATGTGGATAGGTCACTCTCACATTACTGTTGATGTGGGAAGGTCACTCTCACAGAACTGCAGACGTGGTAGGTCAATCTCACATTACTGTTGGTGAGGGTAAGTCACTCCCACATTTCTGTTGATGTGGGAAGGTCACTCTCACATTACTGCAGACGTGGTAGGTCAATATCACATTACTGTTGGTAAGGGTAGGTCACTCCCACATTACTTCCAGCGTGGATAGGTCACTCTCACATTACTATTGGTGAGCATAGGTCACTCACATTATTGCTGACGTAGGTAGGTCACTCTCACGTTACTGCTGACGTGGGAAGGTCACTCTCACATTACTGCTGATGTGTGTAGGTCACACTCACATTATTGCTGACGTAGGTAGGTCACTCACGTTATAGCTGACGCGGGTAGGTCACTCTCAAATTACTGTTGGTAAGTCTCTCACATTACTGTTGGTGAGGGTAGGTCACTCTCATATTACTGCAGACGTGGGTAGGTCACTCTTACAATACTGGTGACGTGCGTACCTCACTCTCACATTACTTTTGAAGTGGGTAGGTCACTCTAACATTACTGTTGACGTGGGAAGGTCACTCCCACAATACGGTTGATGTGGGTACGTCACTCTCACGATACAGTTGGTGTGGGTAGGTCAATCTCACATTATTTTTGGTGAGGGTAGGTCACTCACGTTACTGCTGACGTGGGTAGGTCACTCTCACATTACTATTGGTGAGGGTAGGTCACTCACATTATTGCTGACATAAATAGGTCAGTCTCACGTTTCT